CCTGCTCTCGGTGGCCGTCCTCCTGGCAGTGACAGTCACGGGGGCCATCCTCTTCATGAACCACTACCACACACCAGTCACCGAGTCACCCCCTGTCATCAGCACCAACCCTGAGGAAGCCAACGCTCTGGTCACCATCGAGAAAGCCGACAGCTCCCGCATCAACATCTTCATCGACCCCAACTGCCCCGACGCGTCGGGCACCTTTGGGCGCCTGGAGGGGCTGCAGACCTCCCTGCTGCGTGCTGTCACTGACCACGACGCTGAAGCCAAGGCCACCAAGAGCCAGCAGAAGGCCCTGCTGGTCACCGTGGCAGATGAGGTGGCCAAGCTGCTGACACACGCCATGCAGCTGCGTGCTGACTGTGACAGCCTCAAGAAGGGGCACAGTGCCATGGGGCAGGAGCTCAGCGCCCTGCAGGGAGAGCAGGGTAGGCTCATCCAGGTGAGCTGGGGCTGGGAGTGCCACACGGTTCTCCTTAGGGACAGACCCCCCTTGTCCCTATGTCCCCGAGCACATGGCTACTTGCAGCCCCTGCCCACAGGTTCCAGGGGAGACCTCCAGCTGAAGGAGCTGAGGTTTAAGATGGGTGCTTGGGAATTGTACGTTAGGAACCACAGCTTCAGCTCCAGCTCATCATCATCTCCCCAGTGCCAGCGAGCTGGGTGGGCAGCCTCCCATATTGTGGGTCTCCTGGCTCTGGGTCCTGTCTGGGGGCTCTGAGCAGAGCTGAGCACAGCACAGCACAGGACTATCCCAAGGGTGGTTCATGCCGCAATCAACCCTCCCTTATTAACAGTCCCCAAAATTTCCCACCTGATAAGCTGTGTTGAAATGCTTACCTGTGTGTGTCAGGGGTCTGCTGGGTGTCGTAGCAAGACCGAGGGCACGGCTGGGTGCTCGGGTGCATGCCCATCCCTCCTGGTGCTCATCTCCCTCTGGCTGGAGCTGCTCGATCCGTGCCGCGTCGCTTTGCTCCCTGTCCTGCTGCTCTGCCGCAGCTGCCCCAGGTCACTCACCCAGCCCAGGTTCACCTCGGGGGATGGCAGAGAGCTGGTGGCTGTCTCAGGACACAGCTATTCCTGCCACCTCTGTGATCCCATCCCATGCCCAGAGATGCTCTTTATCCCACGGGGCGGCAGCACTGACGCACCCAGGTTTGGGGATTTCTCAGTCCCAGTGGCAATAGACACTATCTGGACCCTGACCTTGGGCTTAAAACCACTGGAGGAGACATATGGGATCTGCTGTGGCTTTTATGTCCTTACCTGGTCCCCACCAGCCTGTACCTGGGGCACTTGGGGGGGTGTGGGAGTGGGCAGAGCATCCTCACGGTGGGGTGGTCCAGGGGCTGGATCCTGGAAGTAGTTAAACCACATTTAACCACAATTCCTTGTCACCTCATGTGTTGTCTGCTCACAGCTGCTCTCAGAGAGCCAGACCAACATGGCTCGGCTGGTGAGCTCCGTCAGCGACGTCCTCGACACGCTGCAGAAGGAACGTGGTGGTGCCCGGCCCCGGCTCAAGGCTGACCTGCAGCGAGTGCCAGCCAGGGGAGCGCGGCCCCGGGGCTGCTCCAACGGTGGGTGAGATGGTGTCCCCATCTGTCCCCAGGGAGAGGGATGCACCTGGGGCTGCTCTTGGCAGGTCTCTGCCCAAGAAAAGGGGAGGAAGAAAACCACCTGAGATGGGCAAAACCGGCCTGGAGAAGGGATTTAATACAGCAGAGGGGCTGGCAAGGGAATGGGGGAGATGGAGCAGGAGGGAGATGGGAAGTTGTGTCCTAGAAGGGGTGTTTCTCACCGTGCAGCCCCCAGCTGTCCATAAACCAGCTTGCAAAGCCAGCACAAAAGCCACTTCATGCCTCTGCAGACCCACTTGTTCCCCATACAGAGATAGCTGGGGCAAAAGCAGGAGCAAGAAGCAACCGTTCGCCTTCACTGGGATGCAGAGGGCAGAGCTGCACGGGCCTCAGAATATCACGTTCATCATCGTTTGGTTCAGATGAAGCTGAGTAAGACGGTCCCGGGGCTGCGAGGACATGCCCATGCTCTGCCTGCAGCTGCCCCTGGCATCAGCTCCCTTGTCCCCAGCTGGGTCCTTTGGCATCACACAGGGACATGGGTTCAGTCCCTGCCAGCTGCCAGGGGGGTCCCCACAGTGGCTATGTCCCCCCAGCCACCACTCACCCCGAGCATTGGAGGAGAAAGAACAAGGCAGCACTGAGCTGTCAACTAGAGCTGGCAGCAAGGTTGAAAGCCTGAAAGAAATGGCAAGATATTAAATTAGATCATTAATTAATCAGCTTTCCTCTCGTCCCATCCCACGCCACAGGCTCCCGGCCCCGAGACTGCTTTGACATCTATGCGAGTGGACAGCAAGAGGATGGGATTTACTCCATCTTCCCCACACACTATCCCTCCGGCTTCCAGGTCTACTGTGACATGACAACTGATGGGGGCGGCTGGACGGTGAGCTGCCACCGTGCCGGGGGTCACTGGGTGATGCCACCGCCGGTCACGGGCTGTCCCCGTGCTGGGATGCTGGGGGTGGGAGATGTCACTCTTGGCACTTGGATGTGTTACTGGGACGGGGGATAAATGCTCATGGGGTCTAGCACGGGGTGCCTGGTCCCGTGAGGAAGCAAGCAAACAGGCTTTGCTGGAGCCCAGCAGCCCAGGCCAGGCTTGGGGAGCGCGGCTGGAGCTGGAGGGAGGTTTCAGGTGGGGAGTTGGGTGCCATGGCTGCAATTCATCCATCTTGGTGGGGCCGGGGCACAGTGTAGCTACAGTTGTGCCATGAGGTGAATGGCTGTGCTTTGCCCCATCCTCATGGCCCCAGTGAGCTAGTGCTGGGGCTCAGGATGGACCCCAAACCCAGCACATGTTACCTCCTCTGACACAGGGCTGCCTGGGGCACCTCCAGTCCCACGCTGATTCAATCGCTCCCCAGCCACCCTGTCAGATTCTCTTTGCTGTGGTGGCTGCAACAGCCCCGTAATCACAGAGATGGGGGTAGGGAGCTGGGGGGACACAGCACTGACAGCCCCAAGCCCAGAGACTCCCCTTGCCCCAGGGGTCCCTGGGCATGAGCCCCTACCCAGGAGGGCATCTCTTGGGGTGCACCCCGGGGAGGTGATGGGGGCTCGCTGGGAGGAGTGGTCAGGCAGCCTCTCCCCCGAGGACACACTGGGTAGGAAGAGCTGGCCAGCACCCCCCCAGCTGGGTGCTCCAGGAAACAAATCCCCAAGATCTGATTCCCCTAAGCAGCTTTGAGTGGTGCCAGGAGGGAGCTTAACCCCTCTGCCCTGGGGGGACTGCTGAGCCTTCAGCCTCAGTCTGCCCAGAGCCCACCCTGGGCCAGAGCAACCTGCAATGCACAGGTTGGTTCCAGCAGTTCCAGTGGGGAAACTGAGGCACGGGGCAGCCTGAGGGACGCCAGCTCTCAGGGGGCTCACAGAGGGAAGAAAGGTGACACCTTTCACTCCCCAGGGTGGGGAGGGTCCCTGCAAGCTCAGTGTACAGCCTCCACGAGCCCCAGCCATGCTCCAGCGCTGCCTGAAGAGCAGCCCAAGGTGATTAGCGAGACACTCAGAAGCTTATTTAAAGCTGCTGCAGCCAGGAGGGCTCAGGCTGAGCTGGGGAGGGGGCAAAGCAAATGAGTTTACACCCAGCAGCATCGTGGGCTGTGGCAGCAGGGCCAAATCCTGGCGTTCTGGAGATGGGCACATCCAGAGCAGGTGCTCACCTCAGGGTCCCATTTCTTGGGGGGTCTCTGCAGCAAAGGCTCCCAAACACCCCTCCAGCCCCCCAGGGTGGTGTGGGGGGTGTCTGGGCTATCTTCTGTGGGGCTGGGGACATGGAGGGGGTCCCTGGGGCACTGACTCACCTGGGCTCCAGGTAAACCACAGCATGGCTGGGCATTGTGGTGCAGAGCCTGGGAAATTTCTCTCCCTTCCTCTGGAGGGATTACTCCTGACATTTGGGCTTATTTGCATGTGGGTGGGTGGAAGTGATGGCAGCAGCTGAATCAATTTTGACTCAGGAGCTTTGGAGCTGCTGAGCTAAGCCTTACCTGGTATGGATGGCTTAGGGACCACAGGGAGCGGGGCTGGGGAAGAGCTGCCCTGATGCCCCATTGGGGAGAAATTCATCTGGGGTCACTCACTGTGTGCTGCTCTGCACCTCCCCATCCCCACGGCGTCATCTGCAGTGTCACCCTGTCCCCTTGCTGGAGGCAGAGTCCCTGCTCTTCCCTATCCATTCCTTGGGAAGGCTCAGCAAAGGCACAGCCCTTGCCAGACCAGCACCTCTCCTCCCTGCAACAGCCACATCCAGCCCAGGGCAGACAAATTCCCCCATCTGGGGCTGTTTGCTGCCTATTTTGTGTAGTCAAAAAGCAGAAGTCTGGCAGAGAAGGCAGGGACACCCCAGCATCGGTGTCCATGCAGGGCAGGGTGACATGAAGGCAAAGAAAAGTGGGAGGGAATTGCTGGGGAGCCCCTAGAACACCTCTCAGTCCATTTTGTCCCCCTCCTTGGTTTTCAGCTGGCTGGGGTGTGGGTCCAGCTTGGTGCCAATGGGAGCATCCACGTCCTGCGCTCAGGCACCTTCCCTGGGTGAGCCTTGGCTGCAGCCATGTGATTGCCCAGCCTGACCCAGTTCCCCCCCTTTGACACTCACCTCCGGCACTTTATTAAAGTAATAACGAGGTGACGGAGGGCGAGAGGGGTTCAGCATCCCAGGAGGCCTGAAAAAGTTGGATCTTCACATGCTGTTGTCTTGGGAACCCTTTGCAAATGGCCCATGCTCCTCCCCATGCCCTTGAGCCTCCATCACTGCCCAGCCGAGGAAAAGTCCCCCAGGATGGGCATCTCAGTCCCATAAGCAGTGGTGCCAAGCTGGCTCCGGCCACCTCAGCATCATTTTCCATGTACAGTGAGTATTGGGAAGTGGTGGGAAAGCCAAAGGATGTGAAAGAAAAGGCTGTGCCAGCAGGACAAGGGCTGTGGTGATGTTAAGTGACAGCTTCCAGCTTCACAGGCACCTGCCACGCTGGGGACAGCTTCACCCAGCCTGCTCATCGCCCACCCGAGGGTCCTGGTGCAGGCTGGGGGGTTTGACAGACACTGAAGCATTTACACATGGGCTGGGATAAGCTGAAGGCAGCGGGTGAGGTGAGCTTGAGGAAACATGTGCTGTTTCCAAAAGATGTGACTTCTGTGTCACCACGAACAGGGATGAGACACTTCTGCTGGTGGGGACCGGCAGGAGCAGCCAGGTCCCTGGGATGGCCAGCGCTGCCGGCTGCGGTGTTCGCAGGCTGTCACATGGGATTGGCATTTCTCGGGCCAAGACCGGCTCCTGTGATGCTCTGAGTTTGTCTTCTCCATGGCTGAACCCGAAGAGAGGCTGAAGAGCCCTCCCTCCCCGCCAGCACCACAGCAGGCACAGGCTGACGCTCCCACTTTCCTCTTTTTTTAACCCATTTTTCTGGGTTGGTGCCTTTGCAGGAGCCTGTCCCTGCCCCACGAGCTCAGCACGACCGGGGGAGGCAGAAAGCGGGGGAGATAAATATTTCAGCCTTGCCTTGAAAGAAGGGAAGGAAATCCTTTTTGCTTAAGAGGGGGTGATGCATATTTGATGAGGAGGAAAAGAGCAGCAAGGCAAGGTTGGGAGCACGGCAGCCAGCCTGTGGGTCACCACTGCCTGCAGCATCCTGGTGCACACAGCATCCCAAAAGATCCCAGAGAAGGGCAACGGGGATGGGGAAGGGTCTGGAGCACAAGTGTGCTGAGTTCCCTTGTGGCTGAGGGAACTAGGGGTGTTGAGCCTGGAGAAAAGGAGGCTGAGGGGAGACCTTGTGGCTCTGTCCAAGTCCCTTGGAGGAGGGTGGAGAGAGGTGGGGGTGGGTCTGTTCAACCCAGGACCAAGTGACAGGACAAGAGGAAATGGCCTCAAGATGCACCAAGGGCAGTTGAGGTTGGATCTGAGGAAGAATTTCTTTCCTGAAATGGTTCTCGGGAATTGGAAGGGGTTGCCCAGGGAGGTGGTGGAGTCACCTTCCGTGGGGGTATTTAAAAGATGGGCAGACGAGGTGCTGAGGGACATGGTTTAGAGGTGGAATTGGCAGTGTTGGGTTTACCGTTGGACTCGGTGATCTTAAAGATTTTTCCAGCCACTACAATTCTATTCTATCCTATCCCAGTGCACACAGCATCTCAGTACATGCAGCATCCCAGCACGGGGGGCAAAAAGGTGGCTCCCATGTCCCTGCCTGCATGTGGGAGAGGTGGGGGCACAAGTGAGGGACCATGCATGAGAGATGATGAGGATGGAGCAGGAGACCCGGGAGGACACAGGACCTCCAACACCCACCAGCCCTCCCGATCTGGTTTCAAGCCCCTTGGGGCTGAGCCCGGTTGGCAGCAGGACACTGAGGGTTCCTCCGGTGCCCAGAGTGATGGCTGAGCTGTGCCAATGGGGACGTGCCCCACACACTTCCCTGGGCACCGCTCGGGCAATCAGCCTATTTACAACCGCAGTCAAAGCTGATTACGAGGGAGCATCGGTGCTGCCTGCGCCACCTTCCCCGTGCGGCAGCGCCGGAGCCGACGTTGGCCGGGGAAAATCAGCTTTGGGCCCCCATCCAGCTGCACCATCCCCCTTCTCCCGGCAAGCCTGACAAAAACCCCTTTAAATGGGTTTAACGGCAGCTTCTCAAGTGCTCAACACAGGGATAAAAAATTAAGGCTCTAATTCTAGAAGGTAAGTACAGCAGGATCAGAGCTGTGCTGTGCCAAGGAGGGCACTGGGTGCCCACAGCCCTAAAAATTCCCATCTGGTGAAGGGCACATGGGTGTGAAGTTCATGAGCTGAGTCTCCTCCGCAAGCAGGGATGTGTGTGCCGGAGGGTGGGGACAGCCAGGGGAGGCTGTGAAGGAGCATCCCTGAAGTGGAGGAAGCACGAGGGCTTCTTGGCCAGTGCGGGGACTTGGCGAGCACGAGGTCTTCTTGGCCAGTGCGGGGACTTGGCGGTATTGCCCAAGTCTGGGGTGCTGGACATGGGGTGAACGAGCTCAGCCCAGCCCCAGAGACAGGGTGCTCTGACCCCTTGGCTGCCGGCACATGGGGCAGCTCTTAAATCACTGAGCACCCTGTCATCACCCCACCACAGCTGTAGGAGCGTGGCACTTGGTGGCGATCGGCAGGCTAGCTCAGTTTAATGCAATCAATCCAGGGCTAGAGGCTTAATTAAGCAGCATTTTTTGGATCATTGTCAATAAATCAAGCCTGCAGCTATGGATAAAAGGGGATGAAACACACAGGGCATGACACACCGATGAGCAGGTGGGAGAGGAAAAGGGAAAGGCTCCAAGGAGAAAAGCTGCGCTGGGCTCCGGGGATCTGGCCAGGATGTGGGGGCTCTGCAGGACTCGGGGTGGTTGGTGTCCCACAGTTAATTGATCTGGGAGACTAACAAGGTCATGGGAATGATGTCTGGTAATGGGGTGGCTGCCCAGGAGAGAGCAGGACCCAGGAGTTTTCCATGGCACCGAGCAACCCACCATGTGCAGGATGGCTTGGACTGACCTGGGCAGCACGTGCTGCAGGGACAGACTTCGAGTCACGCCGTCCATCTGTCCGTCTGTCCATCCACCCATCTGTGCCTCTGCTCCCGCGTGCAATGGCAGAGCCCAGGCTGTTTCCCATGTGCAGCTTGGAGCTGGGTGGAGGGTGTTTGCCCCTCCTGGGGCCAGCACCCCAGGGGAACACAGCGCGGGTTTCCCAAGCTCTGCTCCCCGCTCCAGGCAGAGGATCTGATTTCAGTGTTTTATCTGAACTGACTCACCCATCCTGGGAGCCTGATCTGGTGTTTCCCTGCATCCCCATCTAATTGCTGGGTTGAAAGGGTTTAATTTGCACCCCTGTTTAATAGACAGTGGCAGGGAGGGGTGGGGAGCAGGGTGGCTGCTCGGGGTGCGTGAGCTCAGAGCAGCCCCAGGACTGACACCCCCTGTGTCTCTGTCCCCAGGTGTTTCAGCGGCGGGAGGACGGCTCCGTCAACTTTTTCCGTGGCTGGGAAGCCTACCGGGATGGCTTTGGAAAGCTGACAGGAGAGCACTGGCTAGGTACGTGGGGCACTCCCTGTCCCACCCCGCACCCCCTCCCCAGGGACCACCTGGCCACCCTGTCCCTGCCGGGGTCCCCACACTCACCCCCTCCCTCTGCTGCAGGGCTGAAGCGGATCCACGTGCTGACGGTTCAGGGCAGCTATGAGCTCCGCATCGACCTGGAGGACTTTGACAACGGC